CCTCCCTCCCACCCACTGCGAGCCAAGTGAGCTCAGTGACATCCTGGCTCCAGAAACTTCCACTCAGCCCCACAAGGATGAGGCTGCTCCAAGTGGCACCACTGCTGCAGCAGAGGGTGATGGTGACAGGGCATAGCATCCCTGCAGTTTCACCCCACGGGGAGCTGCAGGGGAGGATATCACACCTTTTTGATATAGAACAACAGCAGCAGCTTCAGCATCTGCACAGCTGGCAGGAGCGGAGCGAAGAGAATGCCCAGCCTGGGAGCACAGGAAAGATGAGCTTGCCTGGGTCTGAGCCCCAGGGGACACAGTTGTGGGCACAGCTACAGCACCCACAGGGCTCCTGGGGACTACAAGGCACTTCATTTGCTAGCAGAGAAAGGAGCCACACCAGGCAGAAACATCTCACCAGGTCAGAGTCTGCCCATAGATCAGCTCCAGCACATTTCGGGCGATATCAAACTCTGGCCTCTGCTTTGTCTTCAGCCTCTTCTCCAAGATTAGCCTGGGTAGAAGTGGAACTCTGCTCCCACATGCCTGGGGGGACTTCACACCCCACCTTCCCCCTCTGACAGTAGCAGAGCCTGGGTGCACCAGAGAGCTGTGACCATGCAGGGATGTCACACTGGCAGGGGAACATGTCTCGGGGTACATTACCGCCAGATCAGCTCCCCAAAGAGTGTGTCCAGCAAGGTGAATATGAAATCCATCACCACAAAGCGATACAGGTCCTGCCCCACACAGGTCTCCCAGCACTGGGGAGACAATCAAGTGTGGCATAGAATCACAGAATGGTTTGGGTTGGGAGGAACCCTAAAGCTCATCTCTTTCCCCGTCCTGCCATGGGCAGAGATATCCTTTCATTAGACCAGGTTGCTCTGAGTCCTGTCCAACATGGCCTTTAACAGTTCCAGGAATGGAGCACCTACAGCTTCTCTGGGAACCTATGCTAGAACCTCACCACTGTCACAGGGAAGAATTTCTTCCTTGATATCTAATAGAGAAGATGCCACCAGCTGCTTGCACAACCCCATGCTCAGCCCAGCCCTCCACAGCAGTGATGCTGACCTCCTCTGTCGAGCAGGTAACGCTGCGGCTGAGCCACTGGTAGCACAGCAGGATGAGAACCATTGTCTTCAGAGTGAGGTTCCTGGGGAGCAGGAGCAGTACCAGAAGTCCCTGAGCCCAGGGGATGGGGGACCAAGCCCCACAGACGGGGTGCCTGGCTCCAAAGCCTTCCTGCCTGCCATAGGTGCAGGTGTAGAAGGCTCCCTCCACCACAGCCCCAGCCAGCCCACCTGATGATTGCCACGTAGACCTGTGTCACCGGGGAGTCCTGCTTCTCCCACATGGCCAGCAAGTTGTACAGGTGGGGCATCAAGGCATTGAGGAGGGACACCACAAGGGGCAGGACCAGCAGAATGGCTTCTTGCTGCCATCTGTCACTGCCCTGTGCTTGTTGCTCCTGCTGAACCTGGTGAGCAGGTACCGGGGTGAGTGCACAGCTGTTGGCAGCCAGGTGTGGTGTCCTTGGGGAGAGCAGCAACTGCCCAGGCCAGGAGCAGAGCTGCAACAGGGCAGTCCCTGCCTCTCTCCCCAGTATCCCAGCCCTGTCCCTCCAACCCCAGGGCAGGGGATCCCAGGGCAAGAGGCAGCACTCACCATGTGCATGTGTTCTGAGAAGTAGTGCACGGCCAGCACGCAGCCGGACACCGAGGCCAGGGCCAGGACCCAGGCCAGCAGCACTACAATGCAGTGGCCCAGGCACTGGCAGCGGCTCTGCGTGTGGGAACGGGAGCGCTGCTCCACCAGCAGCTCCTGGAAGAGAGCAGTGGCACAGCTGCCAAACCCACTTTGGGTCCGGAGCAAGGTTTCGTCCCACCGCAGCGCAGCGGGACCCAGAGGGCTGATGGCCAAGGCACTAGTGCAAGGTTGGGCTCTGGGGTGTTTTGGGTTAGGGTTAGCATCGCCCAACTCCTCCACCTTCAACTGGGTGCAGATGTTCTCACACTGCAGCTTCACCGAGCGCCTCTGGATCACCTTGAAGTCCCAGGCACAGAAGACTTTGATGGCCAAGTCCCCTGTGGAGCTTCCCACGCTCTCCCGAAAAGAGCGGGACACACTGCAGCGAGGTGAAGGGCATTAGGGATTGGGGCTGGGTAGGAAGGGGAAGGCTGGCAGTGCCACAGGTACTGCTGACCCACCTGTACACCAGCAGGATGCAGGTGACAAGGAAGGAGACCCCAATACTGAACAGGTAGGCCAGTGGCAAGTTGTACGGGAGCAGGGGGACTGCGAGGGGGCAGACGCTGCCCTTGGGACTGGAGGTGCAGGGGTCATTCAGGGTGACGTTGCTGTAGTAGCCGTAGTAGAGCAGTGAGTGTGTGAAGTAGCCCTGCAGGAAAGCACACGATGGGCCCCATGGTGACCTTGGCAGGGCTCGCAGCCTCCTGCTTAGCCTGGCACCTCTGTGCCAGCCTCAGGGACGCAGAGCCTTGGGCTGGGGCAGCACCACCTCATGCACCCACAGCACTGCTGGTCGTGGGGCCCAGGCTGTGTGAGGGCAAGAACTGGGGTATTATTACAGTGGGAAAGCAGGGCTGCCCCCCAGGCTTGGAGCAGCCTCTGGCCTGGGGGTGCCTGGGCCATGCTTACCGCTCCTGTGAGGAGCTCGAGGCCAGTGAAGGGCTGGGGGCTGACCGATGCAGGGGGGTACACAGCCTGCATGACCACCACAAAGGCCAGGAGGATGAAGAATGAAAAGAAGTTCAACATAAGGAGGGTCTTGAGGAAGAGGAAGTAGCAGAGGACACTGGAGCCAAAGCGGCCACCAATCTGCTTCAGGGCATAGTGCCAGGGCTGCGCAGTGCGGAGCAGGGAGAGGAGCCGGTACCAGAGACCTCGGCAGCCCTGGGGAGAGGAAAATGGGGAGAGCAGTGGGGCTGGAGCCTGCACTGGAGCCCTCACAGCCTCTGTGCAGACCTGTGCCCCTGACTTACGAGGACGACGCAGACCTTGGACCAACCACAGGGTGAGGAGGGGGCCCAGTGATGGGTGCGCTGCCTCAGGGGGCCCCTCTGCCCGCTCAGCTGCCGCCTGCCCAGAAGAGGGGTGTCAGAGGGTACCACAGGTCCTGGGACAGCTCTGGTTGTGGGAATCTGGCACTGGTGGAAAGGGTCCTACCGGAGGATGCGTTTCTCCGCCAGGCTGAGGGGCATGGTGAGCAGCATGTGGCTGCACTGGCTGGGTGAGAGGCTCAGCAGCTCCTTCACCAGCAGGCGCCGCTTCTCTGGGGCACAAGAGGCTCAGTGGGACACAGCTGGCCAGGTCATGGCATGCCTGTCCCTAACCCAGAGTAGGGACAGTGCCCAGCATTGCCTTCTCACAGTCTGGGGGACTCTCACCTTCCAGCGTGGCCCTGGTGGGGTCTGTCTCCAGATCGTACTGGCGCAGGCTGGGCCGTGCTGCACGGCAGAGCTGCTGCAGGGGTGGGCGGCTGCTCCGGCGCCGCAGCCGGGCCGTGCGGTTGCAGTACTGGGAGATGATGGCCCCAAGGTTGCGGCCTGTGGATCCAAGCAGAGCAGGGGTTGGGAGGCTGTGGGAGAGCAGGGCAGGCACGAGAGCTCTCCAAGGGGGTCTGGGACCTGGGGAAGACTGGGAAAGGGGGTGGCACCTACCGATGGTGCGGCTGGGCATGCTGGCCAAAATCTGCAGGGAGGCAGAGGAGTAGCTGGGGTGCTCCTCACCTTGCCCGGGCTCTGGCCAGGTCACAGCAGAGGCATCTGGAATAGCCAAGTAGGCTGGGGACTCTGAGAGAGGGAAGGCAGGATGCAGAGAGCCCATGGCTCATCCCTGCTACCCTGCTCCAGCACGTAGGCTAGATGTGTGTTCTTCCCAGAGTATCCCCTTCTCCAGGGATGCTTTCTGTGTCCCCAAGATCCGGTCTGCCCTGGCCTGCCCTGCTCTGCACTGGCCAAGGCATCAGTAGGCTGCTATAAATGCTCAGACCACAGCATTGACGCGTGACACAGCTGGCCCAGGCAGAGGGATGGCCCTGGGCACAAACACTGTCCCCAGCCTTCCCTGGCTGAGGCTGCTGCACTTTACCTCTGCCCCTCTCCTGCAACTCCAGCTCCAGCCCTGCCTCGATCAAGCTGCTCTGCTCCAGGATGAGCTGGTGGAATGAGGTGTGCAGGGCTCTCTCGTTGTCCGGACTGGGCTCCTGGCTGCAGGAACACGGGGACATGGTGGCACGGACACCCGGTGCCTGCAGGTCGTCCCTGGGATGCAGCTCCCGGGCCACGGCAGGGCAGCGGGGAGGGTGACACTCACCCATCACCCTCGGTGCCCTCGGGGACGTGGAGGGTGATGGAGGGCGGCTGGGACATCCTGCGAGGCCGGGCGGGTCCCCTCGCGAACAGACGGGCGCACTGGTCCCGGCAGCCCCCGCTGACCCGGCTCCCCCGGCTGCCGGGCCGGGGATGGAGCCGGAGCCG